CAAATTCACCGCAGCACCCAGGAGCTCAGAGTGGCCTTGTTCCCTGCTTGCCTTGTGCTTTTGTCCTGCCTGTTTCCAGAGGACAGGGCTTGTCCCACCACCACATGCTGCCTTTTAACTTTTGTCAGGGCTCTGATGCACCTAATGATGAATTCCCAGCCCTTTGAGAAGGGATTATGTCTTCCAGAGACTAGAACAAAATATTATAAACTTAAAATAGCTGCTTCCTTATGGAATACGCCAACAAGCCCTACTGAATACTCAGAAGAGTGTAAATTTGCATCTATTTGCATACATATCCATAATTTCCACCTCACCCATCTGCCCTGCTCCATAAAGATGCACTGCCTGACATTGTGGGCAGATGATGGTGTTTGACACAGGCCAGCACTAACGAGGCCCCTCAGTGCCACTGTCCCAACCCTCATCAGACATGGGCTGCTGTGACTGTCCCCAGCCCTCAGTTCCTGCAGGCATCCCTCCCTGGGGACCCTGGCATCAAGCTTCCTTCCCCTTCTACCATGAGAAGACTTTCTCACCTTGAGAATAAACAGAATAAATCCCCAAAGGTCCAAGAGGGTCTCCTACCTATTAGTCCAGGCACAGAGGAAGGAGCAAGCTCCAGAAGCTTCCCTGGGGAAGGAATTGTTTAATCAGGACTGCATTGCACCAGCGCCCAGTGGGCAGGAGTGAGAGGAGGAATGGGGACCCTGAGCAGAGATCCCCATCACTGAGCATGCTGCTGGAAAGCAAAACAACCTTCCCACTAATGGGTCCAGGCCCTGAAGGCTCTGGGTCATATTCTAAAATGTGTTTGAGCACTGGATTTCTGTCATGCATCCAGGGATGCATCCTTCAACCTGCTGTGTGCCCTGGGGAAAATTCAGCACACTGCAGGCTAAAGCACTGAGAAGTATCCAACTTCTTTGGATACTGAGACCCAAATCTCAATGCTGAACTATATAAAAAGAACTGACACCTGCAAAATACAGTTTAAAACCCAGAAGTAACACCAGGGAGGCCATGTCCATGTGACTGAGTCCCAACAGTGAAGGTTTGCTATGGTTTCCTTCACTGCACAGACACTTTTATTCAGGTGGGATCTGCTTCTGGCTTAAATCCCACCAGGAGTGATGTTAAGGACTGTGAGGGGCTGTGAGGGCTGGAGAGGCAGTGATGTCCCCAAGGGAGTGGTGTCTGCCCCCAGCATGAGTCCACACCATCAGGTCTCTGTCTCGCTTGCATCGTACAGAGGGTTGAGGTAGAAAACCTGGAGATCTTTGGGTGTCTCCTCTCCAAGGTCAGCATCTGGAGGTTCCTGCAACAGCAAGGAGGAAAAACAACCAATGGGGAAGAGAAGCAAAACCCTTGGCAAAACCCACCCAGGGCTGAGTCCCTGCAGCAGCCAAGAGGCTGGTGACCTGAGGGAGAACGGGAATGTCCCACAGACCCCTCCTGGCCCGGGGAAAGCAGGGCCCCTCTCAGGGTAACCCCAAGAGGCTTTCAAGAGTGTCACAGCACCCAGCAGCTCCTGCCCATGCCCTGAGCACCCCGGTGTCCCTGGCAGGGTGACTCACCACGCTGAACATGGGGTTGTCAAAGCCTTTGTCACTGGCTGGTGCAGGGGACACCGGGTCCTCCATCCTCTGCCAGGGCTGGTGCTGGCGCAGGGCAGGAATCCTGGGGAAGAGCTGGGCATCACCATCCACATCCCTCCCCTCCCTGCAGCTCCCCCAGCTGAAACCCAGCGTCCTTGAGATGTGGATGGGGAAAATACACACGGGGAAAATGTCAGGCTGTTATTGAAATGGTGTATTTGTACCCTTTCCCAGGGAAAGGCAGCTGAATCCAGCAGAAATCATTAGGACTGGAGATCTGGGACCTGCATTCTTGAGGGAGGAGTTTGCAGAGGCAGAGGACTCTAGCACAGGCTTCACTTAGGAGCAATCATTCCTTCCCTGTGGCCTAAATGAATTGCAACAGAGCTGACACCTGTTCCCACTGTAATCTCAACAAGTATTACTTTTATCATTACTTTTATCACATTATCATTTTTCCATCTTACTCACCATCACTACTTGCATTATTTTCTTCATTACTTTTATCCTAACGGTCTCAGTCCCTGAGGACTCCCCTGCACTGGGCACATGCTGCAGGTGGGCTCAGCAGCAGGTCCATGCACATCACCTCAGGAGCTCTGAGGGAAGCTGTGCCAGGCCCCTTTCAGTGGAAATAAGGGAGACCTGCAGCATGAGTGGGACAGGCCCTGGGCTCGAGGTCAGTTCTGTCTCCTGTAGCTTCACAAAATTCCCCCCTGCTGCTGCTGACAGAACTGGTTTCAAAGGCCTGTCCAGCATCCAAAGAAGCATCAGTGAAAGATAAATCATCAAGTAGCATTATGGGTCTGGGAGTTTTATTTAGAAATTAAATGAAGGCATGGGTTTACTGCTAGGAAATATAATGTCAGCACGTGTCGAGCAGCAGGGCAAGTGTTCCTGGCCAGGGCCACTGCTGCATGGTGACAAAATCCCAGTGGGAGAGGTGGGAGGGAACAAACAGCTTGACTGGTGAGCCTGTGTCACGGCAGCCCAGCACCGGGAGCTCAGCACCCCTGGCAAACACAGGTGCACTTTGCACATGCAAATTGAAGCAATTCCTGGCCCCTGGTTATCAAGTGTGTGAAGTCACCTCCACTTGCCCACAGCAGGGTAAGTGAGACAGCCCACAGTGTCTCAGCAGGCAGCCAGTACACCCTGCAAAACCCTCCACGAGAAGGTGGGTGCATGTGGGAGCAGCAGAGGTGGGTGCCCCATGGGCACTGCTAGGATGCCCTAATCACTGCCAGGCCCCATATCCAAGCTGGGAGAGAAAATGGTGATGAAGAAGAGGTATTTCTGACTACTTCCCAGCTGTGGTGTAGTCAGGTGCACCCTCCAGCCATCCCCTGGGACCTGCACTCCATACTCTATGCTGTGTGAACAAGCAATGCATCAGAATGCAATGCACTTGCTCTTGGATGCTCTCTCTCCCTTTAATGGTTATGAAACTGTGGGACAAGTATTTTGCATTATTTTGATGCATTTCTATTGACATGCTGGCAGG